CCCCCCAGTTTATGTACTGAGCATGACGTCACATGGTATGGAATGTCCCTTGGGCCAGTTTGGGTCAGCTGTCCTGGCTGTGCCCCCTCCCAGCTTCTTGTGCACCTCCAGCCTTCTCAGTTGGTAGAGCATGGGAAGCTGAAAAGTCCTTGACTAGTGTAAGCACTACCTAGCAACAACTAAAACATCGGTGTGTTATCAACATTATTCTCATCCTAAATCCAAAACACAGCACTGTACCAGCTACTAGGAAGGAAATTAACTATCCCTGCCGAAACCAGGACATTATTTTTCTTTCTTTTTTTCTTTTTCTTCCCCCCCCCCCCCTTTTTTTTTGTCTGAACATGCTGTGTACTGTAATTATTGATGTAGTAGTATACTATATCATTTGCTGGATTACCCAAATGTATGCGACAAACCAGCAGTTCCAGGCCATCTCAGGTCTACACAGTAATTTCATGAACCCTACTGCTTCTACACTGGAGGTTAGCACAGTAAAAGCATCACAATAAGCCATGTATTTGTACTGTGTGCAAGCATAATCAGTGTTTAGATACATTTAGATCTGTGCGGGATGAGAAGGTGGGACTGTGAACTGCCATGTCCACAGTCCAAAAGTTGGGATCTTACCAATGTCCTGGAAAAGGCTGAACCAGTCTCTGCAAATTACAGTAAACCTTAGACTTACGGGACATTTTCCTTTGAGATTTTTCTTTTGCAGTGAATATCATTCTGCACATTAGAGAACAGCGGAAGTGCACAAGCAGACAGAAGAGATCCCACTTGTAAAGACTGTGAAATCCTATAGGGGCAGAAGGAAGAACAGAACGATGGCAAGGATGGGGTTTCTGGGTGGTTGTGATGTGTTAGAGTGTTTTTATATGCAACTTCTTGTTATGTATTCTACAATCTGAGAGTCACATCCAGTCCAAATATTAATTTTACCATGATAGAAGGTGTGAACTTATTCTTTTTTCCCATGTGCAAATCATTAATGAAATATTCTGATCTGTACTGATCTGTTAACTGCTTGTAAATGATCTATTCAATGAATGCCTGTATATAAGGTCATTTCAGCCTGTTGATTGTTCAGGCATTGTTCACTCTAGCTTAATTCCTCTCCATTATTCATGGTGATTCATCACCTCAGTCACCTACCATTGTTTCCTCTCTCTGACTAACTGTCAGTTTGAAACAGGAAAATAGTTCTGAATAACAAACACCCTTAAAATGCATCCCAAGTTTGTTTGCATATGAATATGATCATTTGAATCAAGACTAGCCATCTCTTACTCTCCATTCCTTGCTGTCAAATAGTTGTGTGATTAAAAAGCAAACAAGCCTTTCTGTAGTAAGATCTGTTTAAAAGAAAAATCAAGGAGGCACATTAGTTGTTGAGTCATGACTCTGCAATGTTCAGAAATATACCTTCACCTTGAAATATCTGGACCCTCATCTGTGATGGTTATTGGTAGAAACAGCAGTCTCAAGTTCCTTAGGTGTGTCATTTCAAAGCAAATTAAAACAATTGTTTCCCACTAACTTGTGCAGCAGTAAAATATAATTTTCATACATAAGTTAGTAACTCATTTTATCATTATTTTTATAATTCATCAACCACTGTGTTAGCTGGAGAGGTGAAGAGGGATCATTTCTAGAGTTTACAAAACATATCTCTATAGGGGTTCCCTAAATCATTTCTAGAGCTTACAAAACATATCTCTATAGGGGTTCCCTCAACATAAACTATTAATTTTTGTGTCACCAAAGCTTAGGAAAGCAACTGAAAAATATCATCAGCTATGTCTCCAAAGTTTCAGTTCAAGTACTGTTATTTTGAAAATCCTACTTTTTTTTTTAATGTCTTACAGGTATTCATTAATTTTGCTACACAACAGCAAGGCGTCTCGCATTCTTCACAAGAATCTCCTGTTGTTCATCATGACCACCTGCCAGTCTAGGATCAGAATAGGATACAGCTTCAGCAGCATATATGTGTGTGTGTATGTTTGTGTATATATACGTGCATTTTACGTGCAATAACTTTTCAGCTGTTAACAATTTGTGTGTGAGAAACAAATAGTAGAAGAAGAGGTGAGTTTGCATTTGTAGGCCGGAAGGAATGCTACCAATTCTCAGTTAAACAAGAAACTGGTTACATGCAGACCAAAAATCAGCCAAAAAGTAATGCTTTTTAATTAACTGGAATTTTATACTATAAATGGCCTAATTAATGCAGCTTTGTGGGAAAAAAAATAAGAAAGGAAAAAAAAGCTGATGTGAAATGTCACACTGTATAGTAGATTTTTTTTTTGTGGTGGATCTACATTCATTTGACTACAGTAATCTTGTCTTGCATGCACACTTACCTAATTTTTACATGACAAGGCAAGAAAAACACATTGAATGGTAGCAATAGCTAGGCTGTCACCCAACATTTCATAGAATCATAGAATCAATCATAGAATAGTTTGGGTTGGAAGGGACCTTTAAAGGTCATCTAGTCCAACCCCCCCTGCAATGAGCAGGGACATCTTCAACTAGATCAGGTTGCTCAGAGCCCCGTCCAACCTGACCTTGAAGGTTTCCAGGGATGGGGCATCCACCACCTC